ATGATCTGGTTCAGTTTCGACCCTGATGTGGTCGTGACCAGGTTGACTTGGTCAACCAGGACATTGGTGAGGTTGAATGAGCCATTTGCCCCACTCGTCCACACTCGAAGCCATTTGTGAGTAGGTTGTATTGTGAAGCAATCAGCGTCAAATTCTGTCATGTTTGTTTTAATAAGCCTCAGCAGTATTCTTCCTTTTTTGGTAGATGAAAAAGTGAAAAAGTTGTGTAAAGTATTTGTTTTTCTTGACACTGACCACTGAGAATGGGTTTTAAAGCAAATTACGAGTGACACCAATGAAATGCAGAGAGGAAAGCATCGTAGAATTGACGGAGCATCTTCAAAACTCATGTTTGTTTAAGTCAAAATCACCGCCTTGCCAGCCTTTGAATGTGGTGTTCCCTTCAGTAAGATCGTGGTGGCAGTCCCTGTCAAATCTAGATTCAAGTACAAGAAGTAAGTGGGGTAAAAACCAATCGATCTGGTTCCTGGGTCAAAAGCCCATGTGCAAGTAACCAATGCTTGGTTGGCTCACTTCCCTAGGAGCGTTGGGCCTCGAGTCGGCTGGGCCTGGAGCGGATCACCACGAAGCCCTACATCCGCAGCAACATCAACGGCACCCAGATCCAGCGCTACTTCAACTTCCCACTCTACTACCGCGTCGCGCGCTACGAGGACGGACACTGGACGGAGCCGTACTACGTCTGCGACGGTTTCTTCAACGGCTGGGTCATCACCTACGCTGCGCCCTTTTTCGGCTACCTTGAGAGCAGGCAGACTCTGGACTTCATGTGAGTGTGTCAGTGTCGAAAAGTGGCGCTTTCTGGCACAGTGGCCTTAGTTACTCTAGCTCGTTTAAACAAAGCGCTATTCCAATTTAACCAATAATGATGAAACAGCATTAAAACCATTTTCGTCCATCTCATTGGATGAGTATGCGCTTTTTGGCTGCATTTTTATGCAAAAGTACATTTCCAGGAACCAGTTAAAATTTTTAAAAATGAAATATGGCAGGTGGATTAATTAAAACAACATTTGGTTCTGGGAAAGTGCAAATTATTAGCATTTCAGTCCGCCTGTTTAAAATCAAAACAAGACATGTAGGAGTTTTGACGCATTAGATGCTGCTCAAATTTATTATTTTTTGGACACTGCGCTGAATCTTTTTAATGTGCATAAAAATGCAAAAACCGAATTTAATCGATAGTCACGCATGTCCCCTAGCCTTTAAATATCCCAATACCTGATTTCCTGCTACCTGATTGGTGAATTAAGTGTGTGGACAATGCTGCCTGCAAAGTGCAATGTTGACAAGGATTTGTGGCCATTTAAATTATTACCTGACGCCGTATTTAATCCACTGCTACAAAAAACAACGAAGATGTTGCTATACGTATCAACTGGATGTATGCCATGCTGAATCAACACGCCTGACGCCTCCTTCTTTTCGGCGTCCCATTCCTCAGGGTCGAACAGAGACTGTTAGAACTACAGCAAAAAATAATCAAGGCGTCTATTCGGTTGGTGACTCCACTGTTTGCTCAGTTGTAGCGTGGTTTGGCTGACTTCAAAATGTCCGCAAATGACGAGATTCGTTTTGGACGACCCTCCAGCATAGTTTGTATAAATATTCGAGGTCCAAAGAGTAAAGGTCCCTGGATTACCGCTAGTGAGATCTCTGAGAGATCGATTATTGGCTAATCCGACTGCGCTTCGTCATATAAATCAAGTCGAGTGCTCTTCAACAAAACAAGCCTTACTCGGATCAAGTCATACTCGAAGGTGGAGAGTAGCTTGTGTAGAATTACTGGAAGCGTGGATGTGAATAAGCGGAGTCTGTGGCAATGGCTGAATTGCTGCATCCAGTGAAGGCGCGGTTTTGTGTGTGTGGTGGTGGAATTTCAGGGGAACGACGCCTCGTGAGGATCTTCCACGCTACCAATCAATCACTCCGAAGAAGTTTTGTGAGCAACTTGCCGAGTTCAATGTTGGAATCAGAGCAGAATCCCCAGATTTCCTCAATGGAAAAGCTAGAATCGGTCACCATGACAACGCTAGGCCGAATGTCGTTCAACTGACGTTGCATAAACTTAGGGTGTTAGAGAGGGTACTGCATTAACACCAGTCGCATCTCTTTGACCTTGCCACTTCAGACTGTCATCTGTTTCGTTCTTGCAATAAAATTTTGAATAATGAAAACCTGATCAAATTTAATTTATTTTACAGCGTTTTTCTTTCGAGAGAAACCACGTCATTTTTTTTAAAAAAAAACAAGAATTTTACAAGTTTTAAGGCGTTGGAAGATGGTTAGAGGAATTGATGACTTGCACACAACGTTCTATTTTCAGAGGGATGGGCTGTTTTTAGTTTGGTTATAAATTTTGCGCGAACTTTTGGTACTAAGCCAATATGGCGACAGCAACAGTGTCCGGTTTTTGAAATCTCTGAGGCACGTGCTAATTTCGCAAATTTAAACAAATTTTTACTGAAACTGATTAATTAGTTCCTCCTGCCTCGCTTTTTCGATTGATTCAATCTGATTTTCTTTACGTTCTGTTGCCCGTGTTGATCATGAGGAAACATTAAGCATTTATTCTCATGAAAACTTGTTTGAATTCACAGTTTACTTCAACTAGTCATTTGTCGATCGTGTTTTTTTTTTGGATTACCATAAATAGGGGAGTGGTGACGATATCTGTGGATCTCCATCAGCTGGATATTAACCAATGCCCGCAATCATTCTACACGCCAAATTTCTTCAAGAACACGGCCAGATGCGACTTCCGAAACACCTACGTAAGTTGGCTTTGGGACAGAATTGGAACCTATCTATGCTAGGCTGTTTTGAGGAGGATTTTTGATGATGTTCTTAAAAAACCCAAATGGTGGATAAATTCTAAACTCTATACCTGTACCAAGAAATTATCACCAGGGTTTCACCTCGGATTAAAATTCAACCACGCCCTTGTCTCAAAAGGGCACAATTAGGGAAGGCAATTTCCACAATCCAACCAGGTAAACAGCCTCGTGCAAATCCTTGCGCGTGCACGCATCCGCCAGCATGCACAGACGCACGCGCACGTGTGTCCGCACGTGCGCGAATTATCGTCTGGCTGAGGGCACGTGCCGCCCCTGATTGGTCACGAGTTCGGCCTCAGCCAATGATCGTGGAGATAAGGTCAAACACGCTCAGGAGCTGCCAGCCGGTTTACGGCGGGCTGCAGTTAGGTGTTTAAATTGGCCAAGTGCACGCGTGCATGCAGGGATGCACGCACACACACACGCACGTACACACACACACACACACACACACGGACGAGTTAACCGTCTTGTACTCACGTGACACTCTGAACAACCAATATGCTTCTTCTGCCAAGCCTAGCGTGGCGACGTCTAGCGAGATTGTCCATCCCCCCAGACCGAGTAGAAGAGACGGCTTGTTGGGTCAGTGCGTACGTTTTTTTAACACTTTCTTGTATTTGAATTTGGCTCAAAATGCTGATTGGCACTTTTGGAATTGTCACCAGGCTCGACGTATCGGGGTGTGTGTGTGTGTTGCGTGACAATCTGAAAGTGTCGAACACAATTGACGCCCAAACGACGATTTGCATGTTTTTAAAATATCTACATGTCAAATTTTCAGATATATTTCTATATGTTTTTTTATTTTGAATGATTTTTTAGCATCTCTTCGATAAATTTGTAAATCCAACCTCGAATAATCTCTAATTTTTGCCTGTAAATGTCTACAGTGCGTGGAATTTCGAGTCAACATTACTTGAGAAAGCTTCGAGATTCTAAGGACTTTCCGATTAAGCAAATCAGTGGTAATCAGATTATGCAAGATCGAGCTGCAGTTGAGTTGTAACACGTCGTTTAGCAACCATGTTTAGGGAATTTCGCTCCGGTTAAACGACTGCGACTGCGTGGCATAGCATACTCTAGTTTGCAGCACGCTTTCGTTGAAACTTGATAACCATGGGCATATTTCCCTGAAGGCTTGCCAATCCTGCTTAATTGGGTGCTGGTAACAACACACATCTGGATTGATCGATTGGTTGCTCGGCAGCAGATCTGCCAACACGATGTCATTTTAATTTCACCTGGTTGACGGCACGGTCACTTCTAAAGCAATCACGAATTCGATGTGGTTTTGACTGTTCATCACGCTTGGATCGTGACCGTGATAAA